CCACCTTTATCTTCTTCAATCATTTGTATTGGAACGAAATTCCTTATGGGACGATGTGGAGGGGTACCTTAACCGGGGCAAAAAAACGTCCGTAACGTAAGATTTTTGAAGTGAAACTCCTTTATCGACGTAGGAAGGAAACAACGTATGTAACGTTTTTCGGTTACGCGCCATGTTTTTTCCATTTCTATTTAGTTTGTTATCAACAGATGTCGCTGCATGTAAATTCAACAATTCCAGAATCGCGGTGACGAGATGTTCTCGGATTTCTCTTGCTAAGTCATACTTATCTGACGTAGGGATACCGCGATTATGCAGGCGGTTCCCTCAGGATGAGGCTACCTCATTACTCTGCGAAGTGGTGGACCCTTTCGATTATTTTTATTTTTTTTAAGTTTCACTTCTACCGTGTGTGACTTTGCACACACACATATACATTTTTTATTCACTGATTTTACAGGACATGGAGTACGTCGCCGGAGTGCTGAAGGAACTCCGCACGGGTGCAGTGGGGATAGCGCGCGGGGCCTCGCCCCCCGGCGGCGCGGACCCCCGCCCAGACGCCGTCACTGCGCTCAGGAAAGAGATCGCCGATATAGCCGGGAACCTCGCAGACACGGCCAGCAATGTTGACGGTATTCATTGTTACAATGGTAGTTTTCCATTTACAGCACTATAGTAGAATTATTTTGTCCGTGCAGTTTGGGTCATAAAACATAGCCCGGCTAGGGCGGTGAGCATGTTGCGCGGGCGCAACGCGATTATCGATAAGAACAAATGTGCCATCGAAGGCAGCTACGCGGCGGCAGGGTGGTATACGAAGGGTGGTGAGACATTGGCCGTTTTCCAATTACAGCACAAGAGCGCATTATGCGGCATAATGCTCAACTAAGCTTCAGCATAATTCGGCATTGTGTGCCACTGAGTCGCATTATGCTCTGTATTTTTTATTTATTTATTGCTTAGATGGGTGGACTAGCTCACAGCCCACCTGGTTTTAAGTGGTTACTGGAGCCCATAGACATCTACAATGTAAATGCACCACCACCCACCTTGAGATATAAGTTCTAAGGTCTCAAGTATAGTTAAAACGGCTGCCCCGCCCTTCAAACCGAAACGCATTACTGCTTCACGGCAGAAATAGGCGGGGTGGTGGTACCTACCCGTGCGGACTCACAACAGGTCCTACCACCAGTAAAAAATTGGAAAATTAGTAATGTCTGAATGGTGAGGTGTTGGGTGTGGCGGTGTGCGCAGGTAGCGCGGGCGCGGTGTGCTCGGAGGAGGAGAGCTTTGCGGGCGGCGCAGGGGGCGGGGGGGACGCCCTGGCCGCGCGCTGGAGGAAGCTCACGCAACACTTCGACGACTTCGTGCAGGTACGAGCCGAGAGAGAGAGAGAGAGGGAGAGAGTATTCTTTATTGTACAACAAAAGGACTTTTTGGCAGGAACGCGAGGAGTGAAGTTGTGTGATTTAGTTTATTTTGTCTATTTAGTGTTTCTTCAGATTTAAATGTGTAATAACGGTGGTTTATTAACTGTTTAATATCTGTGAAAGTGCACAAATGTGGGAAAATGAAACAAAGCGCTGGACGTAACTTCTCGGGATCCTCAAAAAAGTCCCCTGAAATTTCAGTAAATGACCACCATTTTACTGAGATTATATTTCATCCCATATCATCTCATTTAATTAATGTCTTAAATTAATCATCTTCATTACATTCATTTCACACCATATTATCATATCATTTTTCATAAAAAGAAGAATATAAATTAAAATAAGACATGACTTAAAAGTCTCAGTTACCAGGTCATAAAATCCCTTAAAAAAATGTACACCAAAAAACAAATAAACAGTGCAATACATTATACACAAAAAAGTACAATTGGCGGTCTTATCGCTAACAGCGATCTCTTCCAGACAACCATCAGGTGGAAAAGAATCATTTGGAAACGAACTATGCGCGGTGTACCAATCCAGTGAAATACGTATACATTTATGTACACATACATACATATATACATACAATTAATATACAATGTATTATAATATACTAATAATTATTAAAAAAAAATTAAATGTTGCTTCTTTACACATAAATAAGAATAAGCAATTTACTTATAAAAGATACTTAAAATACCTTTGAAACATGTGGTCATAATTATCTCTGCAGTGTTACTTCGCGCACCGCGCTGACGAGCTGTACTTCCCGGGGTCGGGGTCGCTGACCCCCGCGTCCCCCGCCATCCCCGCCTACCCCGCACCCCCCACCGTGACCCCCGTGCCCTCCTCGGCGGCCCCGTACACGTGCGAGGCGGACCACGTGCCGCAGGGTCCGGTGTGCGACCCGCAACCAACTCCTGCGCCGGGTGGGCATTACGTCACAATTAATAGTAACTACGTAATCAAGAGAACCTTGATCGCGGTTTGAAGACTGGTACATCAGTGCTGAGTGAGTGTTGACTGGTCCAGGTCCGTCGGACCAGCGGGCGCCGGTGGCGGGCGTGGCGGTCGAGGACTCCGTGGAGATGGAGGAGGCCGGCTCCACTCGAGCCCGCGCCGGACTCGACGCCTTCCGGGACGACCTGGTCGCTTTCACCGCCTACAGGTACTCTGTCCGCCCTGTCCGACAGCCGGTCGGGAGTGCAGTGCTAATGTGTCTGTCTGGTGCAGGACGCTGCGGCCGCTGGCCACGCTGTCGTACTGCAGCGACGCCATCAACTACTCCACGATCGTGTCCACCATCGAGTTCGACAAGGACGAGGAGTTCTTCGCGATCGCCGGCGTCACCAAGAGGATCAAGGTGGGTCCCCTTGGCACTGCTGGTCGTGCTCCCAATCAACCGTCGCGATCGCATCTCCTAGGGCCACGACTATAAGCCGGGCTGCACATAATACCAGGGACCCTGGTGTCCGGCAGGTGTTCGAGTTCGAGTCGGTGGTGCGTGACGCGGTGGACGTGCACTACCCGTGCGCAGAGATGCAGTGCTCGCACAAGATCTCGTGCGTGTCGTGGAACAAGTACCACAAGCACGTGCTGGCGTCGTCGGACTACGAGGGCACGGTGTCGGTGTGGGACGCGGGCACGGCGGTGCGCACGCGCGCGCTGCAGGAGCACGACAAGCGCGCCTGGTCCGTGCACTTCAACCGCGCCGACGTGCGCCTGCTGGCCTCGGGCTCCGACGACGCGCGCGTCAAGCTGTGGGCGCTCAACCAGGAGAAGTCCGTCGCCACGCTCGAGGCCAAGTTCAACGTGTGCTGCGTGCGCTTCAACCCCAACTCGTCCTGCCACCTGGCCTTCGGCTCCGCAGGTATGTGCACCGCCCCGCAGTAGTAGTAGTCATTAGTGCCCGGGCAGCCTGTAGCAGCGGTAGACACATGAAGGAATCACGACCTCGATCCAAGAATAATTGAAGTTCTCAATATAAGACCTATGTTCAAGAGCCCTCTGGTACTTTTAAGTATTCGTAGTTCATAAACCTCATGACTTTAATATCCACAATAATGTTGAGACATGAGATCGACGTCTTAAGTGCATTGGAATAATTATTGAATGGAGTAAGCAGATGTTTCGACAAAGCGGCACGACACGAGAACCCTCTTATCGTGGCCGCCGGTAACTACATTCCCGATCCTGCGGACAGAATGGAAAGCAGTCGACGTCGCCCCAAACACGTCATTTCGGACCCTCCCGATCCACTAACGGTGCTTATAGGTACTTCAAGCACCGGTCATCGTTAAATTAACCCACAGACACAGCACACTGAATTTCTCGCCGGATCTTCTCAGTGGGTCGTGTTTCTGATCCGGTGGTAGATTCTGCGAAGCACAGTTCTCGCTAGGGCCAGTGTTAGCGACGTCGTCAGGTGTGAGCCCCATCAGTTCACCTACTAGTTAATGTTAAAAAAAAGTCGTAAGCAATCCAATAGTTAATACCGGTGTTGGTGTCTGTGTGCGGCAGACCACTGCGTGCACTACTACGACCTGCGCTCGCCGCGCGCGCCGCTGGCTGTGTTCCGGGACCACCGCAAGGCGGTCTCGTACGTGAAGTTCCTGGACGGCGGCACGCTGGTGTCCGCCTCCACGGACTCGCAGCTCAAGCTGTGGCGCGTGGAGTCCCCGCGCTGCGTGCGCTCCTTCACTGGACACACCAACGAGAAGAACTTTGTGGGGCTGGCCACCGACGGCCGCTACGTGGCGTGCGGCTCGGAGAACAACGCGCTCTACGTGTACCACAGCGGCCTGGCGCGCCCCTGCCTCGCCTACAGGTTCGACCCCGCGCGCCCCCTCCTCGAGCGCGACCGCCGCGACGAGGAGCCCGCAGAGTTCGTCTCCGCCGTCTGCTGGAGGAGGGCGGCCTCCCGCCCCGCCCTCCTCGCCGCCAACAGCCACGGCACCATCAAGGTCCTCGAGCTCGTCTGACAACCCCTCCCCCCAACCCCCTCCTACCTGCGGGAGAGAGCCCACACCGGAGAAAAAACCCTGAAAACTATTTACATAAATTTTTTACAATCCGTATTATTCACAAATTAGTTTACAATCCGGGATTGTATTGAACCGGGAATCTGCAATCTTCGTTAACAGGCGGAAATGATAAAATGTAGTTATTCTCAAGTAAGATTATTTAAAGTAAAATCGAATACACATTCAAGATATAATGCACAGTGTGCTCATAGATGTAAAGAGTAAAATTGTGCACGGGTCAGTTCCCTCGGCAGCCCTCCCTCCCGCACCCCCGCTCCCGCCCCGCGCGCGACAGAGACACCCAACAGTTAGTTTATGAAGTTTTAATTTTAATGAAAATTATAGATGTTAATCAGTGAAGTCGTTTTGTATTTGTGTGTGTGTATGTAAACATGAGCCCTATGTGAACGGAATAAAGTTGATTATTCAGTGTTATGTCGAGTTTTATTACGTCATCAGCACGTTATGGTGTTATGTCATGCACAGTAATAATTTATTTACACCGCGACCGCCGACGGCCGCGCGGTGACTCCCTTAGTAGCAACAATGAAAAGGGATTTTTAAACATAATTATTTATTTCAAATAAAAACCAAATATATTACACTGAATACAAAATACAGACGTACGTGTTACACGATTGTAAAATCATTATAATAAATGTTTTAAAAGGGCAACACAGCTCAGAGTCATAGTTTTGAAGCAAATAAAAATCACTAGCTCTCTCGTGAAACATTGCATAAAATTATTACAAAAGTTCAATAGACAAATAGACGTGTCCAGTGCCGGCCACCCCGTCCCGCCCCCCGCCGCTATCACAATGCAACGTTATGGTTGAACAGCTTGCGGGTGCGACGGGTTGGGGGGGAGGGAGAGGCCCGTGACGTCACACGTGAACTGGTGCGTTCCGGCGACGGTGACGTCAGACGCAGCGACCTGCGGGGGGCGCGCGGGGAGCTGCTGCGGGGGGAGGCAGGTCCCGGGGGCGGGGGAGACGGAGACGATGACTTCTCTGCAACTAAGAAATAATGCATTATTACTTATGGTGTACTATCTGCGCGTCACGGGTGGTGATCAGTCTAGCGCCCTAGCATCGTCACCCCTCTATTGCTCACAGCCTGATCACTAGTGCTCACAGCCTGATTCAGTCACGCTTAATATGTCTAAGACTTTTCCCAGTGGGTCATTACCTTCTACAAGGGTTTGCCCTGCAGTACATTATATTAAGTCTTCCTGTGCTCAGGCGCATATCTACCATAATAGTGAGCGGTTACCGTCGCTCATAAGTGTCAACGGTGCCAGGACAGAGCCAGGCTACTGTCTAGCGCGAGTGCTCTCCGCGAGTGTCACGGTGGAAGGGCAGCTCTGTCCAGGGCCAGACTATACGGGGCAGACAACATCTCTGGAAACACATTGGGGATGAACGTAGTCGTGCTAAGTTTACTTTATACCGACTATATAATGACTTTTAGTTTATTTACTGGTGGTAGAACCTCTTGTGGTAGGTACCACCACTCTGTTTATTTTTTCCGTGAAGCAGTAGTGCATTTCGGTTTGAAGGGTGGGGCAGCCGTTGTGACTATACTGAGGCTTTAGAACTTTTCTCAAGGTAAGTGGCGGCATTTACGTTGTAGATGTCTATGGACTCCAGTAACCACTTAACACCAGGTGAGTTGTGAGCTCGTCCACACAACTAAGCAATAAAAAAAAATACATATAGATAAATATTTATTTCAAAATTGTTCGAGAAAATACGCCATCTTAGTGACACTCATCCTTTACGACACTAAACTCTACTATAATATTCTAATTATTATACCTAACTGTATCAATATTAATAATGAACTAGCTATAAAATTAACTTTTGGTTAAGTTTATTCAAAAAAGTGTTTTTTTTTCTACTATTAAACTTCATTTTAAGTTCACACTTAATTTTATCTATGGGTTTGGAGCAGTTTTGCTCCTTACTGCCCAGACGACGTTAAGTGCACAACTAAAGAGTGAGTGGTGCAGAGAGACCTGCGGTGGGGGCGGGGCGGCGGCTCCAGGCTCCCCGGACCTCTGGACCCTCGAACAATGAGTTCCGGCGCTGCGGGAGGTTGCGCGATTTCAGGCTACCTGCAATCCACAAGCGCAGTTAGTACTGTAGGCACGCAGGGGGGCGGGGGCGGGGGCGTTGGGGGCAGCACGCAAACGCACCGGCGGCGGCGGCGGCGCGCAGGCGCTGCGTCAGGGAGTGCGGCAGCCCCAGCTGCGAGAGGGAGGGCAGGATGTAGCGCAGGTAACGGTTCCTCAGCGAGTGCCAGGTCCTCTTGGTGCCGGTGATAGCGAGGTACGAGTCCTGCAGGTCGCGCCACACGCGGTTCCCCTTCACCTGACGACTGCGGCTGCCCAGGCTCAGCCACGACACGATGGCGTGGTCCTCCAGGGTGGAGTACTCCTTGGCCGAGGGACGACACGGCCTGCCGGAATGGATTACTCCACATTATGGTCACGTGCACGTCCCACCAGGGCACAACCATTCAACGTAAAGCTTCTTTAAAATCAAAGCAGTAAATACCTCACCTCTTGGATATAATGTGTGGGTTCAGCGCATCCACCTTCCTCGACGCCTCCTGTTTGCTCTGGAACTGGGACTCGCTGTCGCTACTCACCGACACCACCACATTTGACTTGTGTTTTGATTTGTCCCGATCTCTGCGCCTGTCCAATCTGTTCTCCTCCCCTCCACTCCTATTTGGGTCCAGCTTATGAACGCCCTTGCTGTGCCTATCACTATCGAATTTTGTCACTTTGTCACTATTTCTAGCCCTGTCTAACTTGTTCGCTCCCCCACTATTTCTGTCTCTGTTCGCTCCTTCACTATGTGTCTTTCTAACCATGTTATCCTCTCCTTCACTGTTGTATTGATTGTCCAACTTGTTCACACATGCAGTATCTCTTTTTCGTTTCAACTTGTTCACTATACAACGGTACCTGCCTCTATTATCCCTACTCACCACCTTACTGTTACTATCTCTGTCTAACTTGTTCACTCGCCCACTACTCTCTCTGTCTGTCCTCAACATGCCCGCACTGTTTCTAGTTGTTCTGGAGCTCTGGTCGTTGTTGCAAGTATCAGGGTGATGCAGCACATTGTTGTTTCTTTCAGAAGTAGCTCCACGTAAGATCCTCTCTGTCAGATTCCTAATACTTTTGGATTGTTTCAGGTCTGTAAAATTATCCGTTTCACTCTTTGTCCAGATGTCTTTGTGTGGTGTTCTGATATTGTTCCTTGTTTTATATCGTTTGGGATTTTCCTGCGAGCCCTCGGAAACGGATCGCAGGCCGAGTTGTGAGGCAAAGTCTACTAGACTCAGGTTATCGGCGCGCTGAAGCATCCGGTGTATCCTCTCGCAGCGCTCAACACTTACGAGGGGGTTGATCCGGTAGAACAGCAGGGTCTTGTACGTCTGGTCGTTATCAAACTGCGTCACGACGTCGTCAGAGCAGTGCTTCCGTAGATAGTTGCGGAATAACTCCACGTCCGACTGGTCGATGATCAGCTCCTTACATGCGTCTATCTTGGAAGCTTTCCTTCTGCTGTTTCGTGTGAGGATGGTTGCAATGTGTCTCCCCACTGTTTCCGAGTCATTCGACTGTTCTTCGCTATGTGCGTCGTCTGTGAGCTGGTCGTTGGAACGGCTCGTAATCTTCGCAGTGAATTCCTCAGTAGTCGTACGACAGCTTTGTCTGATAGACTTCTGTTGCAGTTTCATACATTTGCTTTTATCTACAACATGTGCTCTCTTGGAGTTATCCCGCTGCGACTTCAGCTGGTTCTTCTTGGGCGCCAAACGAGCGTAACTACAGGGGTTGGAACCCTCAATCTTTGGTATTTTTCTCCCATTTTCGGTTGAGTCACTAGAAGTGGGTACGTGTTTTCGTTTGACAGAGATCTGTTTAGAGCAGCTCTGTGCACGCATCCTCGCCACAGGACGCGCCCTGTGTTCTGTCTCAGACAACAGGTTCAGCGTTACTTCCTGGTGGCTGGTTTGTGTGTAGTTGGACACGAGGAGCGGAGAGATCGGCTGGATTGTATTACGTTTGTATCTGTCAGTCAAATGAAATTCAGTTAATTTTGTGTATTTTTTTATTGCTTAGATGGGTGGACGAGCTCACAGCCCACCTGGTGCTAAGTGGTTACTAGAGCCCATCTACGTTGTAGATGTAGACATCTAAAACAAATACGCCACCCACCTTAAGATACAAGTTCTAAGGCCTCAGTATAGTTACAACGGCTGCCCCACCCTTCAAACCGAAACGCATTACTGCTTCACGGCAGAAATAGGCTGGGTGTACACGGCAGAAATAGGCTGGGCAACCTACCCGTGCAGACAAGAGGTCCTACGACCAGTAAAAAATGACATTAACTTATGTGCCTGCAGTTCAACACCCTTTGTGTATAAGTGTAAGTATGTAAGCAAAATGACAGTCAAAATCATCATACAAAAACATGTAAACCATTCTTCCAAACTTTAAGCCTACTGACAACACAACAGACAAGCTGTCTATACATATGTATAGCTGTTTTTGTCAAAACAAATCAAAATGTATTAAAATGCCAAAAAATCAGTAGGTTCAAGATTACATTTAATATTTTATGTGGAATCAAATATTCTTAGTGTTGATCACATTACAGCACAGCAACTCTTTAGAAAAAGTATTTACCTAATGGCTCCAGTAATCAAATTCACTTTAACTTTTTTTACTGGGAAATCAGTCAATTTAGGTACAAAAAACATTTCAATGCCATTTTAAAGTATGCAACATTTTAGTGTATTCCAGAGAATTTATTGAATGTAATTGAATTAAAGAGTAAACGAAAATTAAAAAAACATTCAAGACATCACTGGTGGTAGGACCTCTTGGGAGTCTCCACGGGTAGGTACCACCACCGCCTNCACTTTAACTTTTTTTACTGGGAAATCAGTCAATTTAGGTACAAAAAACATTTCAATGCCATTTTAAAGTATGCAACATTTTAGTGTATTCCAGAGAATTTATTGAATGTAATTGAATTAAAGAGTAAACGAAAATTAAAAAAACATTCAAGACATCACTGGTGGTAGGACCTCTTGGGAGTCTCCACGGGTAGGTACCACCACCGCCTATATCTGCCGTGAAGCAGTAATGTGTTTCGGTTCAAATGGTGAGGTAGCCGTTGTAACTATAATGAGACCTTAGAACATATCTCGAGGTGGGTGGCGCATTTTCGTTGTAGATGTCTATGGGCTCCTGTAACCACTTAACCCCAGGTGGGCTGTGAGCTCGTCCACCCATCTAAGCAATAAAAAAAAAAACATTCTACATCAAATTTAATAAAATGATAATACTAAGGCAATTAGATAATTGTTTATTAATAATTATTATAGTTTTAATTTGTATTTTTATACAAAATTAACATTGTAAATGATAATCTTTATTGACAAAAAATAATAGTTTTGGACTATGGACAGTGACAGTACTCACCCTTGTTGACAGCATGGCAGACACATTCTCTCCCTCTTCTCTAACTTCTTATGTTCAATACATTTACATCTGGAATGTAACAAAGGCATTTTTATTGCTGTCAAAAATATGTTACCTAACACTAAGTGGTTACCATTACGCATGGAGACCAGCAAGGCCAGGACACCTCCCGGTGCCACAAGTTGCGGGTGGTGGGTGGTGATGAGGACCTGTCTGTTAATCTTATACCTTTAAATGAGCAATTCTTGTATATATATAATCTGAATCTCGGAAACGCCTCCAATGATTTTTATCAAATTCTGTATACAGGGGATTTCGGTGGCGATAAATCGTTCTAGCTACAATTTATTTTCAGAAAATGTTGTTTTATTCATGTATTCAATAATCAACTTTATGACTCTTCCCGACGTCTATTGGCGAATAATAATAATACTATTTTTCTTAATTAAGAGGAACTAAGTGCTTTAACAACACAATAACACTAAAGTTATTTCAGCAGATGGCGTTGTTAAGCCACCCAAAGCCAATAAGTGTTTGGTTTAAGGTTAGACCGAGAAAATAAATTGTTTATTTATATTATTTGTCTTTTTAACTCACGTGTTCACTTAAAAATGCCTAAATCATCTTGGAATATTTCATCATTTTATCAATATGTAATTCGTATTTAAATATAATTCCTAAAAAAGAAAATTTATAAAAAAAAAATACCGAGCAAAGGTCGGTCACCTTCTAGTGTGCCTCTTATGAACAAACAACACATTGACCCACCTGTATTGACAGTACGGCAGACACATTGTTTCTCTCTCTATTATCTTCTTATATTCACTATTCTCACATCTGAAATGTAGGTTTCAATTAAATTATTGTCTTAATTATACAGAAATATTATTAAATTGAAGAATTAAATTCATAATAAGTTAAAATTGTTATGGAGCCAATGGGCACAGCAGAAACCATTATGTTGTATAACAGCCGAGACAAACTTAATTCCTGAAGGGGTAATGCTTACCATCTGAGTTCCATCAGCTTTACTATACAAATAAAAATATTCTATTAAATAGTGTGATTTGATTATAATAATATGAAAATGAGATAACAAACTTTGTATTAACAATTGATGATATTTATTTATTAAAGGACACAGTAACAATATATTATGTTATATGTCTATACAATATAAACAACAACAAAAATCAAGGCCATTTTAAGTATTTAAATTCATTTAAGCATGGACATGGACTATTGTAGGCATAATGTTATAACAATTTGGTTCGTAAACATTAACAAAGTACGCGAGGGCCCTTCGGTCAGTGTCACAGTTAGATGCAGATGTATGTATACCTCATCTGAGAGAGTCGTGGTCCGTCCTGAACCGACGAGGGATGTCCATCTGCCAGGGCGCGGACTCCTCGTAGCACAGACTCCGAGGACGCCACCCGCAGCTTCCCGCGACTTTGGTACGCAAATTGAGCTCGATTTCGCCACCCGCTCACACCACCTGTTTCCATATCCACTTCCCTCCATCTCCCACCCGCGAATATAAAAAATTTCATCGACATTACCTGTTTTTTTTATTACTTTTATTTCAAAACAATTCGCGCTAAAATTAGTACACGAAGCATCTGTTTAGAGTGGCATAGTGTTTGACATTTCTGAAGGTTTTTTTTTTAAAGCAAGATCGCGCATGCAAAGCGTAGCTATCACACTACGCTACCTATCGTTGATTTAATTATAAAGCTGAAACCCATGCCTGTTTTTCAAAATTAAATTAATAAAAATAGTTGTATGGCTTGCTATATCGTGTATAACGTATTCTAAATTAAAATTAGCTTGATTTAATAAATGTGAAATTCTTTTTTTCAAATTGAGTCACATATTATGTATTGATTAGAGTAACAATTTAATAACGTCCAAAAAATAACAACACGAAACACAAGTACTAAACCCCGAAAAAGAAGAATCCAATCTGATAGGAATACTGTTTAAAATATATATAATAACGCTACGCCGGTAAGAGCAACGCCATATATCGTCGAAAAGCAAGCAGAAACGAATATCAAAAAGCTAGAAAAATCAAAAACTGTCAAGAAGTACAATGCCATCTATTGTCAAATGACGGAAACGCACACTGAAAATACTCGACTTGTCAGGAATGTTCTCGGTAATTCTAGGGATGTCGTATCGACTATAAAAGCATTGCGGGGGTGTCACGAAGTCAGTAATCGGAACTACTCGAAGCGAAACAGCGAACGGATCACCTGAAGCGAAGCGGAAGACGTAAATTACGAGCTGTAAAGTGTTCTAGGTGCTATATACAGTATTAATTTGTACTCTGGTAGAATTTTTATTTATCCCGAACCCCGGCGCGTAACAATAAATTTATATATTACTACCGAGTCCAGGCAACCCCCGACCGAGAGCCAGCGCTAAACTATAAAAACGATCCCTCGCTGCCCCCTTGTTCCTCTATCCGATGATTTGCAACCGAAGTAAATTGTCCCTTAGAAATAAGGTGACACTCTACAAAACTTGCATACGCCCGATCATGACCTATGTAAGCGTAGTGTTCGCTCACGCGGCCCGCACTAACTTGAAACCCCTTCTAATCATTCAATCCTGTTTTTGCAGGATAGCCGTCGGAGCGCCGTGATTCGTCAGGAACATCGACTTCCATGATGACCTGGACCTAGAGTCCATTAGTAAGTATGTACAGTCGGCCTAAATGCGCCACTTCGACAAAGCGGCACGACACGAGAACCGTTTCATCGTGGCCGCCGGTAACTACATTCCCGATCCAGCGGACAGAATGGAAGGCAGTCGACGTCACCCAAAACACGTCATCTCGGATCCTCCCGATCCACTAACGGTGCTTTTAGATACCTCAAGCACCGGTCATCGTTCTCGTCGAACCCGTCGCATGCGACGAAGGGCTCGACGAGTAAATTAACCCTCAGACTCAGCCCACTGAGTTTCTCGCCGGACCTTCTCAGTGGGTCGCGTTTCCGATCCGGTGGTAGATTCTGCGAAGCACGGCTCTAGGGTTCATGTTAGCAACGTCGTCAGGTTTGAGTCCCGTGAGCTCACCTACTAGTTAAGGTTACGCTGAAATAGCATCTCAAGGCTATCAGCATAGGTAGGAAAAAAAAGGCTTTGCCCTTTTTTTGTGAGTGGCATTCGCGCGTGCGGTTCTTCTTGAAACATGTTGAGACTTGTCGTGTAATTTTAACAGTTTTCGATTATTATAATTTTTGGTTAGGAGGAAATCACCGGACTTCCGCCCTCCACTGGGAATGGAGGGCGGGGCATGTCAGAGTCGAACGAAGCGCTTAGTGCGGAGCACATCTCTCTCATCACCCTCCCCCTCGGGACGCCGGACCAGCGGTCGTCGGCGCCACGACCACCAGCCCTCTCGGTCGGCAGGCTATCCGAAGCCCGCCTAGATGGCGCCGGTTAGAGTGAGTTATCCTACGGAATACCCCGCTGGGTCAGAACCAGCGTGGGTCGAGGAGCCAGCCTTCCATAACCCGTATGCTCTTGCGTAAAACGCGTACAGAGCAGCTTGCACGTCGTCTTCTTAGGCCCCCCTCGCTGGTCCCCAGACCGACATGTGAGGGGGACCCGAAACACTTAGAGGGCCAGGGCTTGGGCGAGATCCGCCTCCCTGGCGCCTGCTCGACGGCGGCGGAATTGTGCGTCTCTCACTCACCCCGCCACCTGCGAGATGGTACACTCGCAGAAGTCGAGCATCGATGCCACAACACTCGGCAATGACAAGTCGTTTCCTATTTTTGCGACGAGGACACGGCACCACCCCTCCCGTGCGGGGCAGGCTACGAGCGTGTGCTCTGCCGTGTCCAAGTCGCAACCACAATGGTGGCACTCTGCCGTGGGCTCGGCTGTGATCCGGTGCAGGAACTGTCCGCAACAAACAGTTTTCGATAGTAGTAGATTGAAATCATTTTGTTAGAAGTTTTGGTTAATTAATTGAAATATAATTAGACCAGTTCTGTGTAATTTCTTTCCTTTTTTTTTAGTACATAACTCACTTCTGGTCGATAACAATATTATATTTTATATATAAAAAAAAATCATGCAACTTGGTGCACGTGAAAGACGTGAAACTTCTTTTGCGATGTGTAGGTAGTATTGTGGTTTTATTAATTTTTTATCCCTAATTCAAATTTCTCTTGTAACAGGGAATGCTGTGTATAAGAGAAACGACCTCTTCGCCGTTTGTATTTGTATACCTATATATTTTAAATTTTGAGTCGTCATAAAGGATAAAACGCCAGGTGCATTCGTATCTAGCGATGCAAGTGTTCGAATCCCGCAGGCGAAATACTAATGAAATACGTACTTAACAAATGTTCACGATTGACTTCCACGGTGAAGGAATAACATCGTGTAATAAAAATGAATCCCGCAAAATTATAATTTGCGTAATTACTTGTGGTAGGACCTCTTGTGAGTCCGCGCGGGTGGGTACCACCGCCCTGCCTATTTCTGCCGTGAAGCAATTCGCAGCAGAATGCGTTTCGGTTTGAAGGGTGGGGCAGCCGTTGTAACTATACTGAGACCTTAGAACTCATATCTCAAGGTGGGTGGCGGCAATTATATTGTACATGTATAGAGGCTAGGGTAACCGCTTGACACCAGGTGGGTTGTGAGCTATTAGCTGTGTTATTAAAATAAATAATAATAGCATGAAATAAACGCGCAAGTGTGCGACTAGGGGCGTCCGCGCGGGGCCTCGTACGGCCGGACATGACCGGTACACTCACGCTGATCGCGGCTCGTCGAGCTAAGGAAAATCATTGAATCAGCACAAATATTTATTGTCGCCTATAAGCTATCTGAAGTTATGTGAAGTACTACTGCCACGCGTCGATGACCCAGCCGAAGTAGCTAGGGTTACCATTGACGTTTCCGTTGTTTCCCCAGAGCAGGCGGTCGCCGTACCAGTCCACGCTCGCGTCCAGCTTCAGACCCTGCCCGTACTCGTGGTTCTCTATGAGTAAGACGTTGCCGGTCTCCAGCACTACCGGCGTCAGCTTCCACAGGTGGCGCTTCTCTTCCGAGTTGTTGGAGCCCCACGCTTTCCTGTCTCCGTACCCGTCTACGCTCTTGTCCAGCTTCAGGTACATAGTATGTTCAGTGTTCATTATTTTATACAGCAGCTTGTTATTCTCCCATACCGGAATAAGCTTCCAGCTCATTCTGTGACTAGTCTTGTCCTTGCTGTCTCCCCAGGCCAGGCGGTCGTTGTACCAGTCGAGATGGGAGTCCAGCTTCAGAGCTTGATTGTAATGTCTTCCGATGATTTTCACCCTTTCTTGCTTGGTGATCAATTTGACTTCTGAAGGGAAAAAGTCATTGACTATATCGTGGTGTCCGGCGGACCACAACTTGTCCGCGTATGCGAACATGTTAGATTCTCGTGCGTGCAAGAGTCTGTCGATCAGCTCCTCGATAACAAAACCGACGTTATCATCTTTCAAGAACTTCGTGGTAGTCACTGCCTTGTCGTAGTCCCCGGTCGACACGTACTTGACCAGCAGATCCACAAGAAGTTGCTTGTTGAGGAAAGCCACGTGCGAGTCCATCATTGTAGGTTCCTGTAAGTAATCGGACAGCTCGTAGTCGGGACAGTACAGCAGAAGCTTGTTCTTTAGCTCGGCAGCCAAGAGTTTAATACCCTGGGACTCTACCGGCATGCCGTAGATGACGACCATGCCGACGCGTTCGTTTACGATTCTCGTAATATCTCTGGCGCTGTTCGGAATGATGGGCGCACTCATGAGCGTCACTATTTTGACCGTGTCATCCTTGATGTAAGCCCGGGTGTCGCAGTCGTTCTCGTCGCGCACCGGGATCCTGTTGGGGATCTTGTGACCCTTGTCGGACCCGTTGCTGACCTCTTGGTACTGTCGGTTCACATTGTAGCAGTCGCGGAAGCCCGAATACAATCCCCCGTTGACGATACTCCCCTCGCCCCAGTAGTCGACATGTTCGATCAGCTCTCCAGTGATGGGGAGCTTGAGCAGCTTGTACTGCGCTATGTACGGCAGCTCTGAGTACGGATACTTCAGGTCCACGTTGGTCACGTAGTTGGGGCGCTTGGCAGATTTCCAGTGGTCGTGTGGATCCATCTCGTGTCGTCCTGCGCTCACTACCGGTGGACAGTATGTCGTAGAGTCTTATGTCGGTTGCATGGAGTCGCATCGTTTATATATACATTCGAAGTCAACTTCTTGCCTCATATTATTTTATATTTTAAATGTAGTGCTTGTTGAAAACCACAACCGCAATGTTACTGGAGCGGTGATAAGAGAATTTAACCTTAAAATGGTGACCTTGAAAAAGGTAAATTGGTTTGATTGCATTTTACCCGAAGATATAACTATCGCCTTCACTGGTGTCTAATGTTTGCTTCTTTTATTGACTGTTATCATATGTAAATAATACTTAAGCTTTCATAAGCATCCATCCATGAGGTGGAAATGGAATAAAGTCGTGGGGGCGGAACAGAAGACCCATCTGATCTGAACGTCATCATCATCATTGTCATCGCTTGCTCCTCCGTTCTATTTCTACGAGGATGAGCTCTTAATCACAATAAGCATGTTGAATC